GAAGCCGCAGACTTGGTGATTCCCCGTGAGCCGTGTGTGTGTATGTATGTGTGTGTATGTTATTTGTGTGTGTGTTTGTGCGTGTTTGTTTGTGCGTCTGTCTTTGTGGACCTTGGTAGGTTCTCGCTGACAGCACTTGCCCCAAAGAGTCTGTTGAAAGGCCATATTGGGGGGGATCTTTGTATCTTTGTGTGTACCCCACAGCTCCGGTTTGACACGAGTCTGTTTTTATTGTGTGTCACAGTGGAAACAAACATTGACACCCCCCCACATATACCTAGAGAAGAGACAAAAACCCCGCCGTATATCCCACACTCATGTTGCTGGGGCCATTGCTGTTAGCCTGGTGCTGTTCGTGCCGGCAGGACCCACGATCGTGGCTGTGTTTGTTGGATGTTGGCACTTCGCTGGTGGGGAGCAGACGGAAGTGCAGCTCAATCGATCGTTGTGCTCGTACCGCGAAGCTGCCCCGTCTGAACCAGTTCGGCGCACACGCTCCATTCACCAAGCCGCAATTGACCCCGGTGTGGTTGAAGCGTTGTGGTCAAACAACCCCCCCCCCACACAAAGCCGTACACACGTGCCGGAGGAGGGTCAGCATCCGGTGTTTGTGTTACACGTTGATGGGCGCTCGAGATTGACAATCTGGTCAGCGCATCGTGTAGGGCTTTAACCGGGCCGAGCTTTATGGCGTTTATCCAGCTCCAAAGGTCCCTGTAAACCGATGACAAGTACGATCATGTTGGTGCCTGTGCGTTGGGCTTCGCCATTCCATTGGTTTGTGGATTGCGAGCCCGAGCAAAGCGTGGCTGGCAAAACGTCCTCATCGTCTGCGTCTGTTTGCCGAGCACGCGGTCACGCGTCCCTTCGTGGATTGGGGGATCGCCCCGTCCCTCCGAAGCCCCCTTGCTCGTGAACCCGGGGGGAGACGCTCCTGGTGTCCGGTGTCCCGCAGGGCCGTCAATCGAGGCCAAACGCCGGAGCATCGCACGGCGCACGCAGCAATAATAATAACAACAACAGTAGTAACAGACACACGCCTCGCTACCCCTAGCTGTGAGCAGAGTGCACAGTTGTAAGCGTGGTTAACCATGGGTGAGCTCACGCTCGCCCGAGTGTGCTCGCCACCACCGCGTGAAGACGATCGCAGTGCGAGGTTGAATTCGTCGACGGCCGGAGGGAACCAACCAAATGTGCGGCATGGAACTCTTTCTCGGCGGGGGCGTCCACGCAAACGCGCCGGGGTCAAGGTACAGGCTCGATCGTTAAAATCATTCCGTTTAATGGACATGGAAGTGTTTAAGGGATCGAGAAGCGAAACGGATAAGTAACCCTGTACCAAGGCCGTAATTATAATATATATTGGGGGGGGGACACACATTCAAATATGCTCAAAATGTATTGCTATAAAATAGATTTATGTTTATATGATTGTGGTTATGGTTGAAATTTATTAATCCCCAATCTCTGCCATTACATACAATAAAACAAGAAAAGGTTTTTTAAAAAACCAGAGCAATGTAATACAATACCACTATTAGACATGGGACGCCACGCAGTTTGGAAGTGGTGGGCGTAGCCAACATTTCACAATAAAGATTTCTTTTTTGGGGTTAGGTCGCGTCAATGTGTGTCGTTAAACTCGCCACCATCCGACACAGCCATCAAGTGAGAAGGTTTGTCACGGAAAACTAAACGTGCCAATTCGTTACTAGTCGAGCACGCCGGTGTGTTGTGCATTTACAATTCGAGCACGACGTTTGGTACTCAATTGTCGTCGATCGAACCCAAAACAACCTCAACTATGGATAATATTGGTCGCAAAAGCCGACGTGTTAAACTGACTAACCTCGGTGGGGAGGATACCTTCTTCAAACCAAAATGCCATTTGACTCTCGCAGCAATGGGTTCAGGAGGCAAATGCCAACGTCGATGTCCCATCTGCTGACCATGACCAGAGGGCCTTCAGGAGAGAGAGAGAGAGAGTGGAGAGAGAGAGTGGAGAGAGAGAGTGGAGAGAGAGAGAGTGGAGAGAGAGATAGAGAGTGGAGAGAGAGAGTGGAGAGAGAGTGTGGAGAGAGAGAGAGTGTGGAGAGAGAGAGTGGAGAGAGAGAGAGTGTGGAGAGAGAGAGAGAGTGTGGAGAGGGAGATAGAGTGTGGAGAGAGAGAGAGTGGAGAGAGAGAGTGTGGAGAGAGAGAGTGGAGAGAGAGAGAGTGGAGAGAGAGAGAGTGTGGAGAGAGAGAGTGTGGAGAGAGAGAGAGTGTGGAGCTCGCGCGGTTTTGCTGCTCCTCCCCATCCTCCGGTGAAGGAGCGCAGATCACAGCGTGTTTACTGCATGGTCCATGGTGTGGCCTGCATGGCCCTGGTGATGCTCTGATACGGTTGATGGTACCGCCGGTGTCTAGAAGGAATGTCAAAGTCAGGAGGAACGATGACGTTCGGGTCTCCGTTCGCCGGGCAGCGATCTTCTGGCTGTGCGGAGCCATTCGGATTGTTAGATCCCCGGAGAGATGCCGATGGCCTCGGTCGCTCTTCACAGTGAACCGACGACACCTTGTATTTAAAGAGTCCACTGGCCACTAGAGGCCGCTACAATATATTAAATATAAAAAAAAACGTCCATCAGTTATTGAATGGAATCGCGACCATCGTGGTGAGCGGGTGGCGAATCCTGGCAGGCCTAAATATTGTCCAGGGTTCGTCCGCGTTGTTCCACTCTGTTCGCACAGCGGCGTCATTCCGGATCCGGGCTGAGATTCTAGGATGGGGGCCGCAGCAGCGCGACCCCAGAAGCCGGGGGACAGGAACTTGAGTTGGGTGGCGAGAGTCGTTGTTGAGGAGCCGCGATGGGTCTCCACCACGCGCCACCGACCGACCGACCGGCGAAACACGCAATTTGGTTCTTGGGACGCGTTTTTATAGGCGCAGCAAACCGGTAACCTGAACGGATCTGAACAGCCTCCTTCTCCTCCGCGCGCACCACCCGACTGAGCCGGAGTCAGAGTGAGAATGCCCTGGGAGCTGGTTGCGGACGTGGCTATTGCGTGCGAGGGATACCCAGGTGAGGGCCATTTAAACCCGTGTGTAAACACTCTGAACGCGTTTTACTGCGTGGGAGTGACATTCTGTCTCGTCTGTTTGTCTTGTGTCCTGAGTAGTGCAGGCAGCCGGCGCGAACCACCGCATGCCCAAGCAGCTTATCTTTGTCCAGATCGAGGGGAACTAAACAGTCGCGGCACGGGCTTGAGAAGAGATGGGCCGTGGTACAGAAGATGTGGAGCTGAGTGGACTTGCCAATGCTCTGTACCAGCGGTGTGAATGGCGGCCTCTGTAGAGGAGGCTCGTGAAGGAGGCTACTGGGCAGTTGGAGGCAGTCGCCGTCCATCGACAGCAGGGGACGAGAGGAGCGAAGCTCACAACAACGAGCGGAGCGCCGGGCGGGTAAACAGCAGCGAGTTGGCACAGTGGGGAGCACAGGTGGTGCACCTATGCCACTCATCTCAGTCAGTCAGCCCATGGGCCCTGTGGGTGGCCAGCACCACGCACGACCGCGCCTTTGCCTACCCAGTGATGAAGTTTAGACACCGCACCAGCCACCCATTTAAGGCCGAGTCGACCTAGAGGAGGCTCCGGAGCCGCTTCAAACATTCACCGCTGTTGTTGGTCGTCAAGGGGAATCGAACTTGGGTGGCCGGGTTCGTGGCGAGGCGGCGCGGTGCTAAGCGCCGCGCCACCGCTCCCCATGCACATAACTCGCACGCGCCGCGGGTGAACATCCCTCCCACGAAGTAAATCCCCCCATGCCGACACCATGTAATTACCATTATTTTATTTTATTACGAGTGGAGAATTTACGACTTATTTATTTGATTGCGCCTATAATCGAATGCGTTCGCGTGGACCCCCCCGCCCCGCCTCCTCCTCCTCTCCCCCGCGAAGGTGTCACGTGGGAAGCGGGCTCCGGGTGTCTTCAGGAGGAGGAGGGGTTGCGGAACGAGTTTGTTCTGATTTGCGCTCTCCTGCTGATGGGGCACTGTGATGATGATGTGCCTTGCAGGTGGGGCCGTAGGGCAGGCAGGTTCGGAGGGGTGGTGGAGAGGAGGAGGGAGGGCCCAAGTGGAAATTCCCAGGCAATTGGCAGGCAGTCAGAGTTCATGATTTGGGTGGCAACGCGGAGCGTTCGAGAGGCTTTATGGCTGTCGTGTTCCTGCACGAGAAGCGTGGACTCGCGGATTTATTGCTGCACTGTTTTCACGCATCACCGATGGTCACCATCAGCAACTAGTCATCATCATCATCATTAATCATCATCAATCATCATGATCATCGACACCTCGAAAGCGCGCTCGCCCTTGTCCCACCCCGAGGAGGGGGTCATTGTAGAGATGGCAGGCCATGATGACGAGTGGTGCCAACACGCCGGTGGGGGGGAGGGAGGTGTCACTTCCCACCCACCCATTCACGCATCCACCCACTCACGCACCCACCCACCCACGCACCACCCACTCACGCACCACCCACCCACGCACCCACCCACTCACGCACCCACCAATTAATTCCTTCACATCCGAGAAATCACGGCAATGTCGCTTTACGTCACTTCCCACCCACCCACCCCACTCACGCACCCCACTCACCCACCCCACTCACGCGCCCACTCATTCTTTCACATCCGAGAAATCACGACAAAGTCGCTTGACGTCACTTCCCACTCTCAAGAGCAACTCGGCGCAATGTTCCTCCGCCAATCATCAACAGCAGCGATCATCATCCACAATCATCAGCCATCATTATCATCATCATCCACAATCATCAGCCATCATTATCATCATCATCCACAATCATCAGCCATCATTATCATCATCATCCACAATCATCATTATCATTATCATCATCATCCACAATCATCAGTCATCATCATCATCCACAATCATCAGCCATCATCATCATCCACAATCATCAGCCATCATCATCATCATCCACAATCATCAGCCATCATCATCATCCAGAATCATCAGCCATCATCATCCACAATCATCAGCCATCATCATCCACAATCGTCAATCATCATCCACAACTATCACCGGCAGCTATCAGCTATCATCGTCACAATTATCACCCACAACGCTCATCATCATCATTATTGCCGTCGTGTCATTGGAAGACACGTGACACGTGGCTTGACAGACGCATCGAAACGACGAACAGGGGCAGAATTCACGCTTCGCCTTTCATAAATAGAAACATCTAAAGAGAGAACAAAATAAACCACAGGGGAGCGATTCTGGCCGTGCAAACCCAAACCAAAGACAGTGGAGTGCCCAACCTCGTCAGCTGTTGGCAGCTCAGCAGCGGGGTTGAGTCTACGGAGACGCGGGCATCGTGGAAAAAAAGAGCTTTATAGCTCATCGGATTCCTGCATTATACATTTACTGATTCTGAAGGCGCTGCAGGCTCCAGTGCGGCCACGTGGTCGGGCAGCGGTGAGCAGAATAGCCAATCGAAGTGTTGTACTGTACCGCGAGGTTCAATCGTCTATGCTCCCGGGAAGCGTTGAAGCGACAGGAAAAGTGATAGCTCGACTCTGATGCGGAGGTTCATACTGTGCACGTTCGATACAGAGGCTTGGTCGTATGTAACCATTCTTTATCCACCGTCGCTTGATAGTTTTCTGCTTTGGTCTTCTGCCCTGATGCACTCGAAAATCAACCTTCCATCCACGCCTTTGCAGTCTTCATTGCGAGCAGTACCTGTGAGATGCAATGACAGGCGAGAGTCGAAGGTCGTGATTGATGTACACGCACAGCCCTTTGGTGAACCTTCATCCCGTGCGCAGATCTCGGGTGGTGGGTGGAGGGGGGGGGGGGTTAGTCGCCCGCCCATACTTCAGCACGCTGCTCAGCGCGGGTTGGTGAACGCGTGCAGCGAAGAAAATGCGATCAACGAAGTACGGTACAACCGTGGGTGTTGTTGCTGCTGCTGCTGTACGGCCACCACGTTGCACCACAGCGAGGGTCACGTGGAGGTTTCCCGTCCACCCGCTCTGCACTGCCCGTTCCTGACGTCTGATGGGATCGTGGGCGTGCCTTTGTGCTTCGTGATTTGTATTTTGGGTTAGGGGCCGTCCATAAATGACGTCACGCGATTTTGGACGATTTTTGACCCCCCCCCCCCTCGTCACACGGCGTCACAACAAGTCAGACCCCCCTCATATATGACGTCACAAAGCTCTGCCCCCTCCCCCCCCCAAAAAACCCCATAAAACATGCTTCAAATCGCTTTAAACTATTGTCATTGTAGTGCGTAATTAATCTGCCGCTGCACTCTGATGTTGTAGGAGTGTTGTTATAACAATTAGTGTTGTTATAACAATTCTATATTTATTTAAAGTTGCGCATTTTGATGTGACGTCACATTTCTCACCCCCCCCCCCCCCCCGGTGCGTGACGTCATTTATGGACGGCCCCTTAGGCCACGCAAATGATCTGCCTGAATGCACGTCTTGGAATCCCTCCACCACCCGACGTAGCCAAGGAAATGCATTTGTCACGTGGTTTGCACCTCCGATTAGCACGGCTGGCTACGTACGGTGCGAAAGAAGTTCAACATTCACGTACATAGGTAACCCCAGGTCAAAAACTACTCTCTCACTCTCACTCTCTCTCTCTCGAGGGCCCTCCCTAAAGCCCTCGAGAGCACCGTCGGGCGGAGGCTCTTTCACCAGCAGTGACGTGAGCACACCCTACTACGTTGTGGCTACGTGCGGTGCGAAAGAAAGTTCAAGAGAGAGCACAAACACGTGGCGGCGTCAGCGATCAGCGCGCCAAATCGCCATCGTCCGAGCTCACTCCTCCGGTCGAGTCCAAGGACATTGCTCGCGACCGCGCGGATTTCTGACCCCACGGACGCTCGGCGCGCGCAGCTCCGCCGAGCGTCACGCGGACTGCGATCGCCGTCGCGTTTGGCCGTGGGAATCGTGAAGCGGTTCACGGTGGACAAAGAGAACCGGGGCGGCCGACGGATTCGAACCGTGAACGTCTGTGGCAAAGCGGCGGACACGGGGAACCGCTTACTCGCCCCACAGAGCAGATGGCGATTTTGGTGGCAGGGACCCCCCCCCCCCACATCCCCCCAAATCCCCCGCCCCCCATCCCCCATCCCCCCATCCCCCCCATCTCCCCCCACCAGGAACGGGGAAGACACTCACCCAACTTTATTGATGAGCTTCTTGACCCAGTGCCATTTAGGATTCAGGCACAGCTGGCTTCCCTTCGGTATTGTGGCCCTTCAGTTCACACGACACAAAGACAAAGATCCCCCGTATAGGCTTCACAGACTGTTGGGGCAAGTGCTGTCAGCGAGTAGCACCTGTGAAGGCCGGCACGGCACACGAGGTGCGTGGGTGGGTGGCCAGCATCACGCTCGGCCTCCCGTGTCTCCCGAGTGGCGATGATTACACATCGCACCAGGTACTCATTTGAGGCTGAGTCGACCTAGGGGAGACCCAGGACGGGTTCAGATAATCGTCACCAGTGTTGCTCGTGAGCGGGAATTGAACTCGGGTCGCCGAGTTCGTAGAGCGGCGCGCTAACCGCTACACACAACAACACATACATACAAAGAACCCCCAGCACACACACACACACGTACACACGTGACTACACAGACATACAAAGAACCCCCAACACACACACACACACACGTACACACGTGACTACACAAACATACAAAGAACCCCCAACACACACAGACACGTACACACGTGACAACACAGACATACAAAGAACCCCCAACACACACACACACACGTGCAGACGTGACAACACAGACATACAAAGAACCCCCAACACAGTCACACACGTACACACGTACACACGTGACAACACAGACATACAAAGAACCCCCAATACACACACACACGTGCAGACGTGACAACACAGACATACAAAGAACCCCCAACACAGTCACACACACGTACGCACGTGACAACACAGACATTACAAAGAACCCCCAACACAGTCACACACGTACACACGTGACAACACAGACATACAAAGAACCCCCAACACAGTCATACACGTACACACGTGACAACACAGACATACAAAGAACCCCCAACACAGTCACACACGTACACACGTACACACGTGACAACACAGACATACAAAGAACACCCAACACACACACACACACACGTACACACGTGACTACACAGACATTACAAAGAACCCCCAACACACAGACGTGACTACACAGGCATACAAAGAGCCCCCAACACACACATACACACACGTACACACGTGACAACAAACACACACGTACACACGTGACTACACAGCGTACCAATGACGTCGCCTATTTACCACGGAAAACCTCACCGAGTCTCAAGTTTATTTTTGAGGAGGGTAAATTGCCTTGAGATGTTTGGCCGATGAATGCCAAGAGTGGTGAGGGTTTGTCTTCGTGTGAGGAGGGGGGGGTGTAACGTGGTGGCGTGGTGCGGTGCGGTGGAGTGTGGGGATGTGTGGAGTGTTTTACTATGGAGACACGTGTGATGGTATGGCGTGATGGTATGACATGGTGCGTGGTCTGGTGTGGTGGTGCGGCATGGTGTAGCGATGGGATTATCAGAGCTGTTTAAACCCATGCGGTTTACCCTGTGTTTGTACAGGGAAATTGAGTTTTCAGGTCCATACAGCGCACATCCGTTTCAATACGGGGAATAAAAATGGTCTGTTTGTTTGTGTTTCTCCCTTGTGATGAGACTTTATAGGATGAACGTTGAGATTTTTAAATGGCACGGGGTACCAATACGGTCTGAAATGTTCTGTAATAAGGTAGACCATGATAAGGGGTTGACAGGTGTGGATGATGATGGGTGATGGAGTGCTCGTGTGGTGTCGTTTATTGGGTCAGACTTTCCAGACCAACGTTACCCCGAATATTCTGCGGGGAATTCCACATTCTCACGGCGAGCGCCAGTGTCTCAACACTACACCCACTCTGGCCTTCCCGCAAAGTGGTACATAATTGTATCGCCCCACAGATAGCTGATGGGCTGAGTTAACCCCCCCCCCATCTCCCCGATAAGTTGGTATGACTACAAGTGCATGGTGTTTGTGAGAGAGTGAGCGAATGAATGAAACTCACAGCACGTGCTTCTTGCAGATGGCTCCCCCTCTGCCCTTCTCTACGCACCGCACGTGTCTGGCTTTGTGCTTGGAAGCGAACCCCCAGCAGGAGCAAGTCCTAAACCCGGTGGGTGAACCTAGAAACAAGGGGACAAACAAGCAACATGAACACCAAGCACACGCGTCGATTAAACTACTTCACAACATTTCCCCTGGAGGGCCACAGAAGGCCTCCAGAGACTCGCGTGGCCCTGCCGGAGGGCCACAGGGGGCCTCCAGAGACCCGCGTGGTCCCGCCGGAGGGCCACAGGAGGCCTCCAGAGACCCGCGTGGCGCCGCCGGAGGGCCACAGGAGGCCTCCAGAGACCCGCGTGGCCCCGCCGGAGGGCCACAGGAGGCCTCCAGAGACCCGCGTGGCCCGGCCGGAGGGCCACAGGAGGCCTCCAGAGACCCGCGTGGCCCCGCCGGAGGGCCACAGGAGGCCTCCAGAGACCCGCGTGGCCCCGCCGGAGGGCCACAGGAGGCCTCCAGAGACCCGCGTGGCCCCGCCAGAGGGCCACAGGAGGCCTCCCTGGGCCTGCGTCGCCCAGTCGCAGTTTTGTCCTCGTCAAATCGTCAATGACAGTAATAATAATGAAGTTACGTTCCGCACGCTCGCGTGGCCAAAAAAAAGTGTTTGTGTTCCAGTTATTTTCCAGGTTTTTGGGCGACCCATCTGCTGGACGTCGCTGGTTTTGTATCGGGGCAAGTTGCCTGTAATAGTAACGCGACTGTAAGTAAATGAAATGTCTTCCACAATAGAAGTTATTTTGGGGGACTGGGGGGGGTATTGGTCGCGAAAGCCTACGTGTTAAACAAATTAACGTCTGTTGAATCGTCGTTACGAACGTTGTCGTGACCCCCGCCCCCCCCCCCCCCCCCGTGTTACAACAGGCGGACTCGAACTTGTCCCGTCACCCTTTCATCCCCCGCTGTCGAGCGCAACGACACTAAATCCACACGTCCGTACACACGGAGGGCGTGTGTGGCGAGACTCGGCTCGTGCGGAAACGCATGACGGCATTTCATCCGGCAGCGGATCGATCGTGGGTGGCGGCGGCGATGAAGACGACGACGACGACGACGATGATGATGCTGATCATTCTAGAACTGTGCATCCACTGCTTGGACAAGCGTCGTCATCCGGCACTCTGAAAGTGTCAACAACCCCCTTCGCGCGCGTGGAGTCGCCTCCCGATTATGATTCGGTGTTCGCGGGTCAAGGAGCCAAACTCACATTGGTGGGACGCGCGCTCAAAGCATCGCCGGTGCAGGCAGCACCCTCCTGATGAAGAGCCTTGAGACTCTGCGAGGCTCCCACCGGGTCAACAACTGTGGGTGTCACTCCAACCGCTGGATGAGGACCATTCCCGACCCGTCGGGGGTTATTTGACCTTATTTCACCACGACGGCCCAGAGCGCGTTGATGAGGGTCGGGGGAGCTTTGACGTCGGAGCATCGTCCCGTTTTACAACGTTGCCTCTCTGCTGTGAATCTCGCGCGCTGGGCCGCCGCCTATCCAGTCTCCACCCAGGCTCGGCCCTGCTTAGCCTCCGAGATTAGCCGCTTGTCTCATAGCGACGCCGGCGATCGGCGGTGTTGCGTCACCTACCCACAGATGAGCACGGCTGGCTACAATGTACGGTGCAAAAGAAGTTCGACGCACTGTACGTACACATGCGCGCACAATGAACCGAACTGCGCTGTCGCAGCCGGCACACCGCGTCCAGTATACCCCTCGCAGCTTCGGGTAGTCGATCGGCGGGTCGCGCGCCACGTGGCACAATGTTTATCACTCACGCCGCTTGCCAAGGCGCCGGGCTTGAGTCAGACACTGAAGGGGGGCGGTGGGGGGGGAGCTGCCATTGCGGAGATCCTTCCGCTAGCAGTGGCGTGAGCGAGCGCTTGCGGGGCTGCACCTTGACTTGTACGCACCTGAAGCCTGACTCAGCAGAAGCAGCCCGAGGAAGAGCAGCAGCAGCAGCAGCAGCGCCTTTGAGTCCATCCTCTCTGTCTCTGTCTCTCTGTCTCTCCCCTCGTGCGCGCGGGCAGGCGGCTCGAGCAGCCGGCTGACATGAAGGTCAGGGTCTGAGGAAATTCGCTTCCTCGACTCTCTCCCCGCGTGGCACCACCACCAGCAACCACCACCAGCCCCACCACCACGTGCAGGCTCCCACGCCACTCCCCAAGCACACTCCCACGCACGCCGGAAGGTGGAGTGGGGGGGGGTGGTGATGATGCAGATTAGGCCAAGAGGGAGAGCGATAACGCAGCACCGCGCTACGGGACCGGCGTCTCGAGCTCCATTCCCGCTCACGACCCCGACAACGGCGGCGAATATTGAACCGGATCTGGGCCACCACCCTGGGCGACTCGCCGCTAACAATGAGCACCTGGCGCGGTGTGTCAACATCAGCAGCGGGAAGACGTCCGTGTCGGCCACGCACCACATCACGTGCGTGCTCAGCTGACAGCTCTTTGCGCCGACGGTCTGTGGAACGCCACGATGTGGGTCGGTGTCTTGGGCACGCACACGTGTCGGTTGTTCCGTGCTTTCACGAACGTCAACCAAATGAAGAAGTCCCCCCCCCAAACCCCCACCACCGTCACCGCGGGCCTCGGTATTCCATCCGCGCCGCCGTGAGATTGGGCACTCACGGAGTTGGCTCGCTGGGCCTTAGCTGGTGAAAGAAATACAATAAGAGAAAGGAAACAGAGTTTCGTTGTAGTTTAGTTGGGTCGAAGTGGCGCACCCTGGACCCGCGAATACAGCGGTCCTCGCGTCTGGGCTGTGCCGCGTCCCCCAGGAGCTGCGCGGAGGGCAGCCGAGGGGGCAGCAGCAGGAGGGCAGCCTTGATCCGTTGTTGTACTGCACGCCTATTGTACTGCACGCCTATTGTACTGCACGTCTGTTGTACTGCGCAGCTATTGTACTGCACGCCTATTGTACTGCACGTCTGTTGTACTGCACGTCTGTTGTACTGCACGCCTGTTGTACTGCACGCCTATTGTACTGCACGCCTATTGTACTGCACGTCTATTGTACTGCACGCCTATTGTACTGCACGTCTATTGTACTGCACGCCTATTGTACTGCACGCCTGTTGTACTGCACGTCTATTGTACTGCACGACTATTGTACTGCACGCCTATTGTACTGCACGCCTATTGTACTGCACGTCTATTGTACTGCACGTATATTGTACTGCACGCCTATTGTACTGCACGCCTATTGTACTGCACGTCTATTGTACTGCACGTATATTGTACTGCACGCCTATTGTACTGCACGCCTATTGTACTGCACGTCTATTGTACTGCACGTATATTGTACTGCACGCCTATTGTACTGCACGCCTATTGTACTGCACGTCTATTGTACTGCACGTATATTGTACTGCACGCCTATTGTACTGCACGCATATTGTACCGCGCGTCTATTGTACTGCGCACCTATTGTACAGCGCTTCTATTGTACTGCGCTACTATTGTACTGCGCGTCTATTGTACTGCGCACCTATTGTACTGCGCGTCTATTGTACTGCACGTCTATTGTACTGCACGCCTATTGTACTGCACGCCTATTGTACTGCACGCCTATTGTACTGCACGTCTATTGTACTGCACATCTATTGTACTGCACGCCTATTGTACTGCACGCCTATTGTACTGTACGCCTATTGTACTGCACATCTATTGTACTGCACGTCTATTGTACTGCACGCTTATTGTACTGCACGCCTATTGTACTGCACGTCTATTGCTCGTCTAGTCCCCTCGCATTCGCAAAACCAGCGCTGACGAGCGCGGCGAGGTATGGTCCAACCAGTACCGGATGATGCCAGTAGCACACGTAGCTACACTTGTAGTAGCTACACATGTAGCTACTACTAGAGCAGCTACACATGTAGCTACTACATGTGTAGCTACTACATGTAGTAGCTACTACATGTAGTAGCTACACAAGTCGTAGATACACAAGTAGTAGATACACAAGTAGTAGATACACAAGAAGTAGTAGTAGCTACACAAGAAGTAGCTACATAAGTAGTAGCTACACATGTAGTAGTAGCTACACATGTAGTAGCTACATAAGTAGTAGCTACACATGTAGTAGTAACTACACATGTAGTAGCTACACAAGTAGTAGCTACACAAGTAGTAGCTACACATGTAGTAGTAGCTACACAAGTAGTAGCTACACAAGTATTATAGCTTTCACATATAGTAGTAGCTACACGTGTAGTAGCTACATAAGTAGTAGCTACACAAATAGTAGCTACACAAGTAGTAGCTACACAAGTAGTAGCTACACATGTAGTAGTAGCTACACATGTAGTAGCTACACATGTAGTAGCTACACATGTAGTAGTAGCTACACAAGTAGTAGCTACACAAGTAGTAGCTACACATGTAGTAGCTACACATGTAGTAGCTACACATGTAGTAGCTACACATGTAGTAGTAGCTACACAAGTAGTAGCTACACATGTGTAGTAGCTACATGTGTAGTAGCTACACAAGTAGTAGCTACACATGTAATAGCTACACAAGTATAGTAGCTACATGTGTAGTAGCCACCATACATGTGTAGTAGCTACGGGCCCCGCACTTTCAAGGGCCTCGCGCTAAACGCTTTCAAGCTATCAATTCCGGTTCAGTGATTCTGCACTTGCTCTATTACTATAGTACTATACCGCCTTCAACTTTTATGAACGACTGGTAGTTTAAGGCTAGCGATTTGTCGTATTATCTGGCTGTACAGCAAATGAAAAAATGCAATTACTTTACTATGCAAGTTAAACATTTGTGTTTTAACCTTTATTTTTTTCTATATTCACGGCCCCTTTACAACAACAACAACACATGCTACACGCCCCGCACTAACTTAGTCCGGCACTGGCTCCAACAACACCCGGAGGACGATCCCTCCACGCTGAGCCCTTCATCTCATCCTCCTGTTTCACTTCAGGTTGTCACCCGTCCCTGTGTAGCCCGGGACATCTCGGGGGATTTACGTGCATGCTCGGGTGGCAGCAGTTTGATCTTTGTACCGATATACGGTGGCATTTGGGTTGAACTATATCGCAGGATATTGCACAGTTTTTGTTATGATGGACCTCGGCTGACTGAGAAATGTGTGCGGATTTGCTGCTCGACTCTGAAGTCCATCATCCACCTCCATCTCTCCCCACCTCATAACAGTCGGCACATTGAGGACACTTCAACACCAAGGCTTAAAGCGTCTTCTCATGATCTGTCTTCATGCGCTTTGGGGGTGGGGGTGTGTGCGGTGGGGGGGGAGTGGACATGCAAATAATGTCCGACGTTTCGTGCTGGGGGCTTCTTCTGCGGCCAGTTGAGTTCCTGAAGAGGCTCCGAGCAGCTCGCTCAGCGAGACGTCGGAGTCCCCGGGCGATTCGGACCACGGGCGCGCTCGCAAGAGACGTGGGCACACAAAGACAAAGATCCCCCGTGTAGCCTTAACAGACTGTAGGGGCAAGTGCTGTGAGCGAGTAACACCTATGAAGGCCGGCGCGGCACACGAGGGGGTGGGTGGCCAACACCACGCCCGGCCGCCTTTGTCTCCCAAGTGGCGATGTTTACACATCGCACCAGGTACTCATTTGAGGCCGAGTCGATCTAGACAATCGTCACCGGTGTTGGCCAGGTTCGTAGTGCAGCGCGCTGCCCGCTACACTACCGCTCCACACGAGACGTGGACACACACACACCACACGCACTCGCACACGCACGGACCCTGAACGGTTATTGTTCGCAAAATGATTTCCCTGTTTATCTCAAGTTGATTTGCGCCGGAAACGTGGTGGTGGTGGTGGTGGGGGGTCACAGGTGGGTCTGTGCATCCTCACGTGACCTCTCACCTTAAATTGAGAGCGGGGTGTGTTTTTGCAGCCTTGTTTGTTGGCGTTGCGTGTGAATGCTGAGTTATTGCTTCTGCCAAGTCTAATTTTAGTGTCGTGTGTGCAATAATGTTCTCGCGCCGCGCTGATGGTGCCATCGCAGGTAGACGGAGAAGTTCCCCCAACCCCCCCACGAACTCCATCTCTTTGAGCACGCTTCAGCAAACACACGCCTCGACACAAAGACGGCAACCTCGCCCTACCATCCTCACATTCCTGCTCGGGGGGGGGGGGAACCGGAGCTTCGCGTTCGTGTCCTGAGCCTCTGGCAGGCTCTGGCAACTCGCACACGTCCAGTGTGGTGAAGTACATCCCCGTGGCTGACACGGCACGGGAAAACCCTCGGGCAGCGCTGCATTGAATGCTCTCCGTGCGTTTCATTTACGTATTTGTCGGTACGGCAAAAAAAAAATGTAAATAGGGCACGGGTCTGTTAATGCCCCTTTTTTGTCATGACCAGGTTTGCTGTTGTGGCAATGCCCCTGCGGTGCCACCATCAACTCGTGGGCAATGAATCGCCAGTTCCACCACCAACTCGTGGATAATGCACACCCGGCACAAAGCCTTTGCCGGTTTAGAATGATGTCAATGGGTCTTTCACGTCCACTGTGGAACAGACGCCGTGTAGTGTTTCTGGTTAATACCGCCGCAGAAATACTATAAGCTAAGCTAAGTAAATATTAATCTCACCAAGTAAGGCTAACTGAGCTATATAGCTGTTTTTCGGAAGCGACATGGCCACCAACGAAGCGGTGGTTAATCGCGCGCGCGTCTAGAGCAGCCAAATACTCCACACGGCCGTCTCTAAACGTGGATGGGGACATCAGAGGACCCGGAGAAAAATCCACGACGACGACGACCACGGGGATCACAATTGCAAACCCTAAAATCACCAGGCGCCGTCAGGGCGGGGATCGAACCCCACCGACCTCCTGCGTACCAGGCGAGGGAGTTAAAACATCGAGCCACCGCTGCACCTCAAATAATATCCGGGGCGGCCGGCCGGATTCGAACCGCAAACGTCTGCAAGGCGCTTCCGCTGGCTCGCGTCACCGTGCAAGCGGTGTCAGAGGGTTCGCGTGGCACGTGACGTGCGTGCGATGATGCCAATCTGCCGTGCAAGTGAGAAAATAAAAGGTGCTCTTCGTAAAATCCCCCGAATCGCGACTTTCGTGAAATGACGTGGTAAGCGCGTATCGCTGTCACACGAGAGGGGTCCACTCTCCCCCCTCCCCTCCACCCAGTGCCCGGGGCAACGTCTCTCACTCTTGCCTGCAATCAAGTTAAAGCATCAGCACCACACGCCGTGCCTTTCGAAACGTCTCCACTGCTGCGGAGAAATTTACCTGGAAATTTCTCGATTGGGATGCTGCGGTAGCAGCAGCAACATCACCTCCCCCACCCCCCCCCATTACTGCGAAAACTTGGCAGGACCCTCCTTAATAAAGAGTCTTGAGACTCAATGAGGCTTCCCTGGGTAAGCAATGCGTAATCATAAACAAATTGGCGATTTGCTGTCTTTACAGAA